GATATGAAGCTTTAAAAAGTAATCCCAATTAAAAAGATAAATTTTATGTATGTGTTGGCTCCGGCTGTTTTTTGTTTTCTTTTTTTTTTAGTGAGAATTGCTAATTTTTTAGAATATAAACTAAAACATTTTAATTTTTGGCAAGTAATGAAGTTTAAAATTCTGAAAAATAAAAATTACAGCTAGGAAACAATTTTGAATAATTTATAATAATTGTGTCAAATATTAAACAGCCATTTGTTCTGTTTTTTTACATTTTTGGGAGGGTTTCCTTTTAGTTTATCCTCTCCTGCCAGGAGACTTTGAAGATTGTAGCTGTAGTGGATATGATCTTTGTTAAAGATACCTTAAATTATTTCACAACTAATATATATATATAAGCTTTGTTGCGGTCAAATGATTACATAAATAATTTGACTAAAGCAAGAAAAAAAAAGGTTCCAGATATTATTGGTGACTGTTTTCCTGTAGCTCACATACAAGGCACAAAAATGATAAAGAGAAATGTTCATTTTAAAGCACCTTTGGTGTTCCTGGGAGGTACTTTGGTGAAAAAGTCAAAATAAAAAATTAAAAAGCCAAAGGAGCCTAAAAATAAAAATCCCAGTTTTAGTGTACTCAGAATAAATTATGCACCCAGTGCTTTTTACGTCAAGATAAAAACCAGGCCTTCAAAAATTTCATAAGAACGCCGTTATATGAAGCCAGGCGATATAAGCTCTTCTGATTCCCGTTTGCAGCTTTTCCATGTGTGTCACTGTGTGGTGCCGCCGAAAGGTGAGAGATGTCCTAAGTTGCTCGGAGTTGTTTTTGTTTTTTTGGCAAGCTGGTGCAGAAAATGAACACAGTGTTGGAGAGAAGTCTGAGAGCTTAACCACATGTAAGCATTGGAGGAACTAGAGGTGAACAAAAGGCTGAGGTCTGCGTGGGTGTGTGTGTGTGTGTGTGTGTGTGTGTGAGCGAGAGAGAGGAAGCGGCTTGCAGGGAACGAGTCCTCGCTAGGGAATTAGATTAGCGTCCAGGCGCAGCCAGTGAAGACCCTGCCGAGTGTAGCGCACCAGTTCTGTCATGCTGCTGGTGTTAAAGATCAGAGCACCCATCACTTTGTCCAACTCCAGGAAAAAATCTGAGACAAGGAMAGATCAAAGACAGGTCATAAACAGATGATCCCGTAAAAAATAGATTTTATTTTAAAATGTAAAAGTAACTACTACTGTCAGGAGCATTTATTTAGTATTTTGCCCTTTGTCTTCCATTCTAGGTTTTATTTGTGTACAGTGTAATTTAGTGAATTTAGTGGTCAGTTTTAGACAGCATTGTGTTTTAGAAATAAAATGCTAGATTTGAATGAAATTAAGGCTCTGCTTAATACATAAAAATGTGCCAAGTTTAAGTGTCATTTGTCTTACATTTCTCAGGGTTCCCACACCTTGGTCAACATCAAATTCAAGGACCTTTCAAGGACTTTCAAGTACCAATTTCTTCAAATTTAAAAAACCACGCGCGACGGCAAATACCTACTGCTACCACAGAATGCTACCACTTATCCATCCATCCATCCATCCATC